TGCTGTATATTGTACCATACATACCTGCGGTTAGGTTCCCAATCAAATGACGATGCGGCTGACATCTCGAGAGGGGGGGCGTCACGGCACTCACTCGCCAACGTTTCAAGTACAGTAAAGTTGGAGCAATAATGGGTAGAAGTAAATAAACGTCTATGAAAAGAAACAGCTGACAATGCGTGACAATTGGATGCGACAGAGACCCGCAAGATGAAATAGGGTGTTCGGTCAAGTTAAGCTTGAAGAGGCTATCGGAGTGTCGATGAGTTCATAAGGAGTTGCCGAACCCCGTGCAGCTATTCCCAACCAACAGCGAGAACCCATGTCAATAAATCGGCATTGTTCGCGGGACAATACCATGTGCGGATGTGAGAATGGGACAGACGCCATTGGAAGACGGTGGAAATGCACAAGGTGGCGCTAGTCCGTTTTGGTCATGGCGCACCAATGGGGCCTGGTTTAGCCGAACGTCCGAGATAAATTTTTGGAGCCGGCGCAACAGGAAGCTTCTCCAATTCTATCGTCACCGAACTTTTTCTCCTCCTCGAACTCCTTGTGAGCGAAACTCTGCGCTTCAAAACGGCGATACGATTCAATCCCTAGTTCTGTATTTTTTTTCTCTTATCTAGATACCCTCATAATAAGATCCAAGATGCACCGCGCTCTTACATCCCGCGCCAGAGCGTCCATCGCTTCCTCCGCCGCTACCAAGTCCCGCCCCGGTGCCGGCCTGGGCCAACAGCTTCGCTTTGCCCACAAGGTTCGTCTATATGCCTCGTAGTAGTACCAATGATATTGGTCAAGGTATACTGACTCGTCCTGTAGGAGCTGAAGTTCGGTGTCGAGGGCCGCGCTTCTCTGCTGGCTGGTGTTGAGACTCTGGCCAAGGCCGTTGCCACGACACTTGGTCCCAAGGGCCGTAACGTTCTCATTGAGTCCAGCTATGGCTCCCCCAAGATCACAAAGGGTACGATACAGCTCGAGGAAGCTACAGAATGAACGTCAAGCTGACTGTGAGTGCAGACGGTGTAACTGTCGCCAAGGCCATCACCTTGAAGGACAAGTTCGAGAACCTCGGTGCCAGACTCCTCCAGGATGTTGCCTCCAAGACCAACGAGACCGCCGGTGACGGTACCACGACCGCCACTGTCCTCGCCCGCGCCATCTTCTCCGAGACCGTCAAGAACGTCGCCGCTGGCTGCAACCCCATGGACCTGCGCCGTGGTATCCAGGCCGCCGTCGATGCCGTCGTCGAGTACCTCCAGAAGAACAAGAGGGATATCACCACCAGCGAGGAGATTGCTCAGGTCGCCACTATCTCTGCCAACGGTGACGAGGCTCTCGGCCGCATGATCGCCAACGCCATGGAGAAGGTCGGCAAGGAGGGTGTCATCACCGTCAAGGAGGGTAAGACTCTGGTTGATGAGCTCGAGGTCACCGAGGGTATGCGCTTCGACCGTGGTTTCGTCTCTCCCTACTTCATCACCGACGCCAAGTCCCAGAAGGTCGAGTTCGAGAAGCCCCTGATCCTCCTCTCCGAGAAGAAGATCTCCGCCGTCCAGGACATCATCCCCGCTCTTGAGGCCTCCACCCAGATGCGCCGCCCTCTCGTCATCATTGCTGAGGACATCGAGGGTGAGGCTCTCGCCGTCTGCATTCTCAACAAGCTCCGCGGCCAGCTCCAAGTCGCCGCTGTCAAGGCCCCCGGCTTCGGTGACAACCGCAAGTCCATTCTCGGTGACTTGGCTGTCCTGACCAACGGTACCGTCTTCACCGATGAGCTCGACATCAAGCTCGAGAAGGCTACCCCCGACATGCTCGGCTCCACTGGCTCCATCACCATCACCAAGGAGGACACCATCTTCCTGAACGGTGAGGGTGGCAAGGACTCCATTGCTCAGCGCTGCGAGCAGATCCGTGGTGTCATGAACGACCCCACCACCTCTGAGTACGAGAAGGAGAAGCTCCAGGAGCGTCTAGCCAAGCTCTCTGGTGGTGTCGCCGTCATCAAGGTCGGTGGCTCCTCCGAGGTCGAGGTCGGCGAGAAGAAGGACCGCTTCGTCGATGCCCTGAACGCTACCCGCGCCGCCGTTGAGGAGGGTATCCTGCCTGGTGGTGGTACCGCCCTCATCAAGGCCTCTGCTCTGGCCCTGAAGGACGTCAAGACCGCCAACTTTGACCAGCAGCTCGGTGTCAGCATCGTCAAGAACGCCATCACCCGTCCTGCCCGCAGCATCGTCGAAAACGCCGGTCTTGAGGGCTCTGTTATCGTTGGTAAGCTCACCGACGAGTACGCCAACGAGTTCAACAAGGGCTTCGACAGCGCCAAGGGCGAGTACGTCGACATGATTGCTGCCGGTATCCTCGACCCTTTCAAGGTCGTCCGCACCGGTCTCGTTGACGCCAGCGGTGTTGCCTCTCTGCTCGGCACCACCGAGGTCGCCATCGTTGAGGCTCCCGAGGAGAAGGGCCCTGCCGCCGGTGGCATGGGCGGTATGGGAGGTATGGGCGGCATGGGCGGCATGGGTGGAATGATGTAAAAAAGTAAATGATGACCACGTCTTGTATTAAAAACTCAAAAAGGGGGCATGGCACGGTGTTACTATTTAAAAAGGATGGATAACTGCGGCCCTTTGTACTAATCTCCCCTCTTTACCCCTTTCTACAGAGATTCCCCGAGGGGATTGAAGAGATCTGTATGTACAATAGCACTAGCAAGTTATGTTGCATGAAGAAACCAAATCAGTTAAAGATGAAAACACATGGGTCTTATTTTTTCTGTGCCAGAGCGAAGTCGTCGTCGTCGTTGCCGCTGCTCTTGTTGCTGTCGTCGTCATCTCTATCGTTGATATTACTTCTCCTATTATCGTCTGTCCTTATTTCTACCATTGTTGTCCTCAGTAGGAGGAGTAAGTCAGTACACTGCACATACAGCTGCGCAGACATAGGAAGGCTCTCTCATTAAAGAAACCAAGCTAGCCAAAGCCAAAGCCAAAGCGACAAGCGAGACAACAAAGACATTGATCCATTCTCGTGCATTGTGAAGAGTGCACGGTGACGTCTGTCAACTGATAAGGGGGGCCTGAAGCTACCTAGGTAAGTGCTCTACAGTGGATGAGAACAGCCCACAGCCACTACTTTAGTTGACTTAGGTTGTCGGTAAAGCTTCTTTTGGCCTGGAGCTGACAGGTGTCTCGAGGCAGCCATTGAAACGCCCACCTCAAGCTCACGGGCAGCGGGGAGCAGGCACCCATCATCATGCTATTGTGATTTTTATCTGGCAACCTGCTGCTGCAGAGCTAACTTACACTGAGAGAGAGAGAGGCGCATGGCTTCAATTGCCCTGCTTTTGGGCTCCATCCCACCAAGTCAGCTATTGACTGCCGCCCGGGGGTGATTCGTCAACGCTCTGTGGCTGACGCAGTGTCACGTGCTGTGCTCTAATCTCACCGGGACAACAACCCCACCATGCGGGTGTTTTTCTCGCCCGCTTCCCCTCCACGGTGACCCAACTCACTCCGGTTCTGTCCAAGATACCTCACCAACCCGACGCAAGCTGTTGCCTTTCCTGCCACCACCACCATCCCAAGTGCAGCATCCCCCCCACGGCCGGACCACTTGATCTCATGTAGGCTTCCATTTCCTCCCTCCCCTCTGCAATCATTTTAATAATTGCCTATATCCAATTTCCCGTCTCTTTTTTTGCTCCTGCTAATCTGCTCTCAGCCCACTTTCCCGCCTTCTCTCCTAGCCACACCCCCGCCATAAACCAGCATCATGGTGAGTACTAAAAGCTTCCAAGGATCAGCCGTCTACCTAGACACCAATCTAACCACCAGCGCAGTCTCAATCCGGGTTCGTTCTCACCTTTCCGCACAGCCTCACCCCCCGCGCCGACGACATTTGACGGGCGATTGAACACCGCTCGTTCGATGACGATCCCACCCGAGGCGGAGCAGGCCAAGCTGGCTCCATCCCCATTCCCGCGAAGAACCGCCGCAGTGCTAACCCGACTCCCCCACCAGAGCGACCGTCTCGCAGGAGTGCATAACGGCCTACAACGACCTTAAGCTCTCCAAGAAGTACAAGTACATCATCTACAAGCTGTCGGATGACAACAAGGAGATCGTCGTCGAGGAGGCTTCGGCCGATAAGGACTGGGAGAACTTCCGTGAGAAGCTGATTAACGCTACCTCCAAGACCAAGAGCGTATGCAATCCCTCGTTACCTCTCGTCATGAAGCTAGAGGCCAATGTTAACTTTGCATCAGGGTGCTGTTGGCAAGGGCCCCCGTTACGCCGTCTACGACTTCGAGTACAGCCTTGCCTCTGGCGAGGGTGAGCGGTATGCAGCCCCGCACCAACCGTCTTGGAGAAGCATCAGGAGCTAACCCGAGAACAGCAACAAGATCACCTTCCTTGCCTGGTCCCCCGATGATGCCGGTGTCATGGTCAGTTCTTGTCGCGCGGTTTACATCAATTCCTCTTGTCGCTAACACCCGTGCAGGCCAAGATGATCTACGCCTCTTCCAAGGAGGCCCTCAAGCGCTCCCTGACCGGCATTGCGACCGAGCTCCAGGCCAACGATGCCGATGACATCGAGTACGACTCCATCCTCAAGACCGTCAGCAAGGGCATGGCTGGTTAAATTTCCCACTTTTCTACCAAATTCCCCCCTTCCTTTCGCGAGAAGGAGCATACACTTTGGCGGTTGCAAGTCTTCCGGGACGACTGACGACGATCATGGAGAGTTTACGACGAATATGGAGAGCCTACCTTCTCCCCTGACGATTTCTGGGTCTGAGTGCTTTCCACTCCGCGTTTCTTTTGGGGCGTGACAAGTAAATTTCCAGATTTGGCTGCCCGCCTGGTCATACCAACCCATTGCCATAGGAAAACATCTCATGCTGGAATGCAGAGCATTCTTGTTGTTGCCCGACGACAGAATCACTTCTTTATTAGACCATTATCTATGCTTCAGTCCGTTTCCGTGATGCTACGTCATGATTTTGTTGCCTGGTAGTTTGAGCGCCACAGCGCCGACAGTTCCTCCGCCTTCTTCTCGTCCTTGAGTCTTTGCAGCAAGAAGCCCTTGAGATCGTCCCAGAACTCTGCCGTCTCCAGTGCAGCCTCACCGATCTCTCCTTGCGCGGGGTCGTTCGCGACGGGGGCGGCGGGCTCAGCCGGCTTGACCGCCGCGGCTCCACCAATGACCATGACCGAGAATTCCACCGTGGACTGATCCTCCGCGAGCAAGTCCTTCAAGACCTTGCTGTCCGGCACGGGCTTCTTGATGTGCAGCAGCTTCATCTTGTCCACGGGTATGCGCGACTGCGACTCGACCTGCGTCTTGATGTCCAGAATCGACGTGTTGAGCGATTGAGATGACAGCTTGATATCCAAAGGCGGGTTGCGGAGAGACTTGAGAGAGACGGTGACGGATCGTTCTTGGCCGGGTGCGAGGCTCGTGGGCTTGCTCATCGCCTTGGGCATCTTGGGCAGGATGTACTGCACACATCAGTCAGCTAGCTCGCGCAACGTGCAGATAGATATATGCAACTTACAGGAGGGCGAGGAGGGAAGTTCTTGGGGTCCTCGACATGATCGGCCGACAGCTTGGCCGGCCGCGACTCCAAGGTCGCCAGGAACTGCCTGGCAAAGACCACTTCAGCCATGTCTGCGTTTGGGCGTTGAATTCTGGTGAGGCGATATTCGATGTGGTTAGGAGGTTTTCGGTTAGGTTTTCCGATATAGCTATTCGTAGGTATAATGTAGGCGTCGTCCTGGGTGTCGTCCTGGGTGTCGTCCTTGGGCGTCGTCCTTGAGCTTCGTCCGGTGTCTCCTCTGACTGCTGCAAGGAGGGATGGATGGCGGGGCGGAGCTGGGGTGTGGAGCACGAACGCTCTGGACGGCGTGGCTTTCCCCGATAGGCATCACAATCTTATCAGCGGGTGGCCCGTGCTCGATAAAAAAGTTTTGGAGGGACCATTCTAGCGCAGTAATTTTTTGGCGACCGTCCCGCCGGTGTCTGTTGTACATCCTACAATACCATATACCCATTTCCCTTTTCTCCCAGTTTCGACACGAATTGACCGGTCAAAATGGGTGTCGGACGTCGCATGAAGAAGCAGGGCCCTCCCGAACCCCTGTCGGAGGCTCACTACGCAAAGTTGAAGCGCAAGGCCGGTATTCCTGTCGAAGCCGTCGAGGCCCCCGAGACGAAGAAGAGGAGGACCACGAAGCAGCCCGCGCCCAAGGCCAATGGCGCGAAGAACAAGGAGGTGAAGAGGGGCAAGGTTGCGGTTCCCGGCGAGATGGCGCCCAAGGTCACCAAGAAGAAGTCAAAGAAGCAGGCCCAGCCCGACTCGGACGAGGATATGTCTGACGACGATGACCTTGGCGACTTCAACGCTGCCGACTCCGACATGAGCGACGAGGCTGACGAATTCTCCGACCTGGACGCGGAAAAGCTCGGCGACGACTTCATCGATGGATCGGACGACGATTCCGTCGTTGACTCGGACGAGGAGCGCGGCGGCGGCGGAAAGCACATGTTCTCGGAAGACGAAGAGGACTCGGACGGCGAGGAGCAGCTCACAAAGGCCAACATTGAGGGTCTCGCAAGGCGGCTTGACAAGCAGCTTGCCGAGGAGGCGGAGAATGCGGAGGCTGAGCTGCAGGAGATGGGTCTGCAGACAAACATTGACGGCGACAAGCCGCACATTCTGGACGACGAGGATGATGAGCTCGTCTCCAAGACCAAGACCATGCTTGCCCCGGATCTGCAGCTTCTGAGAACCAGAATCACCGAGAACATCAGAGTGCTCGACGACTTCGCCAACCTGCATGAGGAGGGCCGCTCGCGCGTCGAGTACACCTCCCAGCTCATCAAGGACATCTGCGCGTACTACGGCTATTCCGAGTACCTCGCCGAGAAGCTCTTCAACCTGTTCTCTCCCCGTGAGGCGTTTGCCTTCTTCGAGGCTAACGAGTCTCCCCGTCCCGTCGTCCTCAGGACAAACACCCTGCGCACTCACCGTCGCGACCTTGCCCAGGCCCTCATCGGCCGTGGCGTCACCCTGGAGCCTGTCGGCAAGTGGTCCAAGGTCGGTCTGCAAGTCTTCGAGTCAAACGTTCCCCTCGGTGCCACCCCCGAGTACCTCGCCGGTCACTACATCCTGCAAGCCGCCTCTTCATTCCTTCCCGTCATGGCCCTTGAGCCTCAGGAGAACGAGCGCTGCCTGGATATGGCCGCCGCTCCCGGTGGTAAGACGACGCACATGGCCGCGATGATGAAGAACACCGGTGTCATCGTCGCCAACGATCCCAGCAAGCAGCGTGCCAAGGGTCTGATCGGTAACATTCACCGTCTGGGTGCCCGCAACGTCGTCGTCTCCAACTACGACGCCAGAGAGTTCCCCAAGCCGATGGGTGGTTTCGACCGTGTGTTGCTCGATGCGCCCTGTTCTGGTACCGGTGTCATTGCCAAGGATGCCAGCGTCAAGACCAACAAGACCGAGAGGGATTTCATGCTGTTGCCGCACACGCAGAAGCAGCTTATCCTGGCCGCTATCGACTCTGTCAACCACCACAGCAAAACCGGCGGTTACATCGTCTACTCTACCTGTTCCGTGACTGTCGAGGAGAAGTAAGTCCCATCCACATCTCAGCCTACTACCAAGAAATACATGCTAACAACAACCCAGCGAGGCCGTCGTGCAATACGCCCTCTCCCGCCGCCCCAACGTCAAGCTCGTCGACACCAACCTCCCCTTCGGACGCGAGGGCTTCACCAGCTTCATGGGCAAGAAGTTCGACCCCTCGCTGAAGCTCACCCGCCGCTACTATCCGCACACCTACAACGTCGACGGCTTCTTCGTCGCAAAGTTCCAAAAGATCGGCCCCACGCCCGACAAGGCCGCCTCCCGCGACAGGTCCGGCCCCCTCGCCGGCGAGCCCGTCGACAAGACGCCCATCACCACCGACGACGAGAGCGGCGCCGACGGCAAGACGGACGACTTTGGCGGCTTCGACGAGGACGAGGACACCGAGTACATCGACAAGGCCAAGCGTAACGCCATGCGCAGGAGAGGTCTCGACCCCAACGCCCTGTCCAAGGAGAAGAAGGGCGGCAAGAAGGAGGAGACAAAGAAGACGGAGATCGCCGAGTCTTCCGAGGCCGAGGTTGAGAAGCCCGCCGAGAAGACGCCCGAGAAGAATGAAAAGAATGAGAAGAAGGAGAAGAAGAAGGCGGAGAAGAAGACCGAGGAGAAGACGGAAGAGAAGCCGAAGACAACAGAAAAGAGCCCAAAGGCCAAGAGTCCCAAGCAAAAGAAGGACAAGAAGGGCGGAAAATAAGAAGGGGAACGTTTCTTTTGCATAGGGAAGGAAAGTTAGATGATTTCTCAGTGTGATCTCCGTTTGTGGTTGTAGACGAGAGAGCATCATGACGGCGAGATCCAAGGGTCGTCGTCGAACCTGTTTTGTTGTCGTTGCATTATAATTACCTATTACTAGGGAGTCGGAGGTCAAAAAGGGACTCTGGAAATAAAAAAAAGTTATATGAACAATAAGCCGTTTGAAAAGCCTTTGTCGAGGCTGCCGTCGCATCAAGTGTCGTTTAATGGTTTGCCGTCTCAAATTCGCCCTGCGTCCCGGCCGTGAGGCCACGTGCGTCTGTCACCATTCGACCATTTTGCCATCACGATCACCAATGCCCAGCCGGCCCCAGAATGAAAGAAATGGGATATTACTAGTCCAGTACTCCAAAAAACCAAAATTGTCCAAGCAAAGCTTTTCATCAAACGTCTCTCATGTGCCAGCCCACCAACGACCACCTTGATGGAAGTAGCAAGGCCTCAGCTTGTCCTTAAAAACAAGAACCAAAAAATGCAATAGAAGCATTGTACAGAATCGACGTAAAAAAGCAATCCAGCCCTCAAGCTCCATGATGAACCCTTTCCAGTCCAAGCCTGGATGGTATCAGAGCCATTTCTTCCCATGGTGTCTTCCCTGTGGTTCGTAGCGGTCGGCGTTCCCTTGCCGGACCTCTTTTCGTCATCAAAGCCATATGTCGTGAGTCCTTCCACAGCCTTTTTCGGAGAGTATGTTATACAGAGGAATCCAGAACGTCGTCACCGGAATCGTCGTCGTAAATGCTGCTCGTCGTAACCTACTCCCAAAAAAAAAAAAACCGCCTCCGTCATAACTCGCCCGGCGTTCGCCAACCGAAGCCGGGGGTATTATAGTAATATGCGTGAAACAAAAAAAGAGCATCGAGTGCCTTCCGAAGTAGAATGCTGTTCGTGAGATGAGGTCTACTGGGCAGTCCTCTGGTATAGTAGAATGTCGCGAATCGCCCACCGCCATGCTTCGCGATCTCTTTCGCCGACACCCAGCCACTTCTCGCACTTCTTTCTCCACCTGTCTTCCTCTTCTCTCTGTCGTCGGATGAACTCTGGGCCGACATCGAACTCTTCGCCGACCAGCCATTCGTCCTTGACCTCGCTGACGCGACCAGGCTCCTTAGAGTCGCCTTGGTTGTCTTCAAGGTCTGGAATATCTTTGAAGACGTCTTCGTCGTCATCCAGGGCGTTGAAGCCGTCCATAGGATCGGGGATCTCAGACTTGGGGTTTGACTGGGGACCAAGCTTCAGCCAGCACATGTTCTGTGGGTCGAAGACCATTCCTCCCACAACTTGCACGCCCTTCGTATGGCTAATATTCGTAATTAAAGCCGGTCGGGGGGTAGTGGCTTCCTTACCGCGCATCATGTGAGGTGGTAGTGATGCTGTTGAAGGTGACGACGCGGGTGGTGGGTCGAACGCGTTCAAGACATTTTCGTTGCCTTCCCAACGGAAAGTGTCAGGGTTGTAGAACATGCCCTGGAGATCTGGGGTGGTGTTAGCATTTGAATTACAGAGTGATTGACCGATGCACTTACGTTGTGGCGTCTTATCTTTGTTCATGTTTGATATGAGATGAGGTTTTAGTTGAGGAGGGTTCCTCTTCTTCTTTGATCGTACCGATGGTTGCGGCATTCCGGGGCTGAAAGTGTTCCTCGACGATGACAGTTGCGAGATGCGTGAAGACGTGAGGGGCGCCAGTGGGCCTGATGGAGCTCTTTGGGCAAGCGAGGTCTCCCGAGCAATTCGGCTAGCCTGGGTATCACGGGCAAAATGGGGCGTGTAATCAGACCTCGCAGGGGATGAGAATGGTGCCGGCGAGGGTGTGGTAGTCCGATCGGTCTGCACATTTTGGTAAATCTTGTTGCGAAGCGGCGCCTTGACAGGTTGTCGGATGAACTTCGCCTCGGATTGAGCTGAGGTAGGCAAATCGTCAAAGGCATCCAGCTCATGACCATCGCCGAAATTGCGGGTCCGGTGAGGCTTGGTCATGTTGCGGAAAGAAGAGCTGGAGAAGATATCATGGGTGATATGATCCGAATGCCGATTGAGCCTCTTGGGACTAGGTGAGCGCATTGTAGACCTCGAAAATGCCCTCGAAGTCGGCCGCAAGTCCAAGGCATTCTCGGAATCATGGCGTCGGAAGGTGCGAGAAGTTTTCGTAGTCACGTGTTGCGACTGGGATTGAGATGCCCCAGCAGGGAGGAAAGGTCGTCGTTGCTGAGCAGCGAAGCTTTCCACCGTTGCAGGGCGGGTCCTCTCGACTGGCG